AATTGTAATGGTGCTTACTTAGCCTTAAAAGGTCGAATCCAATATCCAAAGCAGTAAGAAGACATTTCTTATGTTGATGCCGAAGACTTCTATGTAATACATCATCTGAACAGACTACAACACAACTGGTGAGACTATCTCAGAGTCAATTTGCTACTCACATTAACAGGTTACTAGTATGTTATAGAGACCATCAAGTTCAAAGCTTTAAAAATCTGTGTTTTTCACTTTTGAAGCTGAATGATAACAGAACAATAACAGAAGCTGTAGGCTTTCATTCAGAGCTGACTTGTTTGCATCCAACGTAAATGGGCAGTGACCATTTGCCATCTAACAGCTGTTCAGTATCCTGTGCATGATGATATGGTAGCTCCTGCTGTAGAAGTGGCCAGGTGACTGCCACAGTTAATTGCCACTCCTGCTGGCAGTCGCAAATCAGGAAACAGTAAGACCTGGAGACCATAGTAGCCCGTGTCTTTTAGACAGAAAGCAACTCCAGAACAGGACAATGAAAAGGTATTTCTCAAATGAGCCGTGTCTACCTAATAAGAACAGGATGTCAATTTAAGGTAAGGTTAATAGAATATAATATTTTTTCGTGGTTTAACCCCAGCCAGGAACCCAGGAACCAAAACCCAGGTGGCTGCTCATTCTCTCCCCATGAGCAGGACTAGGGAGAGAATCAGAAAGGTAAAAGCCAGAAAACTCAAGGGTTGAGATAAAGATCATCTAATAGGGAAAACAAAAGCCATGCACACAGGCAAAGCAAAACAAGAAATTAATTCATCCCTTCCCATGGGCATGCAGGTGTTCAGCTGTCTCCAGGAAAGCAGTGCTCCATCATGTGTAACAATGACTTGGCAGACACCACCACTCTGAACCTCTCCTCCTTTTTCCCCCCATTTCATATACTGGGCATGATGTTACAAGGTCTGGAATACCCCTTTGGTCAGTTGGGGTCACCTCTCCTGGCAGGGTCTCCTCCCAGCCTGCCATGTATCTGCAGTTTCCTCACAGTGTGGCAATAAGGACAGCAGAAAAGGCCTTGGCTCTGTGTAAGCCCTGCTCACCAGTAGCAAAAATATCTCTGTATTATGTTACGGGAAATACTTTGCATTTTGGACTTTTAGCTTCCTTTTTCCTAGTACTATCACCATTGAGTAAACATAAATACTGGGTTTCATACTGCTGTCTTCCATACACAATACTCAAAGTAAGAAGGCCAATTTTTCAAGTACCATTCAGTTTTAGTAACTCCTTTCAAAAAAAACCCATTTACTCACCCATAGAAATATTACCTTAACAGAACAGCACAGGGCTCTAATGTTCTACTCCTTGGGCTTAAAAAACAGTATAAAAAAGGAAAAGCAAAAGCTTGTAACAGCCACAACTTTGCTAAAAGCTGATTCATATATTGCTTAAAAAGTTAGCATTTGCATATAAAAAGCTCCTCAGTATTTATAGCAAACTCAACTGAATAAATGCACTAAAATGTAGTTCTGAATCAAAACCATGTTATTTAGATTCCTGATGTTAGCAGGCAGCTGTGATAACACATAGAATTTCCTTAATTTGACCAAACTTTCTAACATGGTAAAATTCATACTCCAGTTATGAAGAAGAAAAAAAAACCCAACAAACAACTACTCATTTTACCTTTACAACAGTAAAAAAACAATAAAAAACACAGTGTGAGGTATTCATTGTAGGTAGTTCTCCCCAGTTTACTCCTGTTCATTAAACAGGTATGCGAGATACATGTCTGGAATGCAAAAATGTCACAACTCTTTGAATTCTGAATTGCCATGAAGGTGGCCACCCTCTACCAGAAGAGCCTTCTGAGGCTGTTTTTGCATTTAATGATACATCTGCTGAGAAAAATAACTCTTTGTTGGTCACACCAAGGACCATAAATAGCCTATTTCTACTACTTTGTTTTTGTCTTCCCCTGTTGAGAGCCTACCAAATCAGACCATTTTCCTTCAGATGGAGAATATTACATTATATTTATCACTATAGCAACTAACCTAATTGATTTGATGCAGGTTTCTCTTCCACCATAGGATGGAGCCATTATCCCTAAGTATAATCTAAACATTTAAGAAAGAAAAAATTATCAGTTTATCATTTTATCACACCAATAGGAATATAATTGGACTTCAGATACTAAAGTATAAATTAAAGTCTAATGGGTTGTACATTACATCCAGAACATTCTTTATAAATAAGCTTATCTGTCAAGTGGAATTTAGAGTATAGTGTTTACTGGTTGCTCCTGGTAATTGGGATGACTATTGTACAACAAATACACTTCCAGAAACAAAGATTCACAAAGTAATTAGGAGAAGGAGAAGCAATGTTCAAATAACTGATTCAGAAATAAGCTTTGTCAGACTAACAGATTAAAAACGGAAATAGGTAAGATAGATCAAAAATTGTATGTACAGTGCTATTGAGAAAGGAAAAATGGAAAAGTTCTTTCCCAGATTTTGGTTTGGAGGCTGCAGGGTTTGTTTTCAGTAGAATGATACAATGAGAGATAATAAAAGATTAGGTTCCTGTAATTAGTTTGATAATATATTCACCTTTATTGATATACTTCCATGTGCCTGACAACAAGGTGTGGGGGAAAGTAGAGACCACATTACATATTCAAATTCTTTCCTTTTACTTTCTAAGAAATATGGAAATCCTGTTATTTTTAAAGCATTTTTAAAAGTCATCGTGTCTCCCCCCCCCCCCCCCACAACACCCAGATCTGCTTTTCTTCAAGAAAAGGCATCAGATGAAAAAAAGACTGATTAAACTTTAGCTCATTTATAAAAGAATTCATAAAATCTGAAGTGCAGCTTTACCTAGAAATAGCTTTACTTTTTTTTATCTTGATTTTTTCACAGAGCAAAAACCATTTTTTTCAATGTCTCAAATACTACCACTAGAGAAAATGTTCATGATGCTTCATTAACATTTGGAATTGCAATTGTCAAATCAGTAAAGCATTACACAAATGGTGGAGTGTTTTGACACTGCATATTTTAAGCAGCATGGTGCTTTTCAGTGCTATATGAAATAAAGAGTGTACTACATATTTGAGGAACACCATCTACACTGGCTGAGAGAACTAATTGGAAACTGGTCTTTAAGCTCACTAGAAAATGTCTCCAGATTATCAGCCAAGATTTGCATTTTTTATCAGTAAACAATGCAAAAAAATAAACAATGAGTGTGTAACAATTTAAATGGATGACTACATTCCTTAGGACATTGTCAAACTTCTCATTGCTGAAAATAAATCATTTTTAAAGTGTCAGAGTTCATGGTTAACTCTTTTTGAGGCCATGCTGATCAAAAATATATGCACAAAAGATCTCATATCTCCTCATAAGAAGCCCATGACTCTTTGGACACTTCTAGCACAAACTTAACAAAATATTTCCTATCACTAATATCAAACTGAATTCCCTTTACACTTGAAATACTCGTTTTGTAATATGCACTCCCATGATAAAATAGATGCTTTTAAAATTTGCTATGTTGTTTATTATATCCTCCATATTAACACATTGAATAAAGCATTATGTAAAAAATATTAATATTTTAAGTGTGGCCTCTTTAATATGATTTTATTAATGAGAAGTGTAATGCAAAATGTGCTAAATTACAAAAATAATTACAAAATATGTTATTTTCAGAATAATCCACTTTCAGTGTCATCAGTATAAAGGGCCTCTGTAATAAGCAAAACAAAAGTGAATTAAAGGTTCTCCTAATTAATTATGATCTTGTTTAGAAAAAAACCCAGAACACACACACACAGAAAATGGTGAATGTAATACAGTTGGAGGGAATGGAATAGAGGGTTAAGAAATGCAGCAGGTATGCTTCTGCAAACCAGCAGCTATTTCCTATTCATCACAGCCTACACCTATTACAGCTCAACAAGACAAGCCTAGTGCAAAATCTTTTATGCTACAGCTAATGAAAGCAATATGCACCATGGGTAAATTACAGACCCCATTCAGCTCAGGGTGGGAAAATACAGTGTAGATTCATTTTGTCAAAGCTGTGTGGGTCCTTCCTGATAAATAGCATATTTTTTTATTATTATTGCATAAAACTGCTTTTTCTGTTCTCTTCGCAAGTTTCCCATCCCGGTGCTATAGACCAACTTGCACTCCCTAACTTGAAGTATGGACATTAACTCCATTTACATTATATAATTGCTTGAAATGATTCTTGCTAAAAGAAAAACAAAGAAAAACAAAAATGACCAAAACAAACAAAAAAGCAGGGAAAAAAAAAAGACCTTTAAAAGTATTTATAGTCCAAGTACTTGATTCTTATAGATACCTTATCTGCAAGTGTAATTAATGGAATATCTATCAAGCCTTAAAAAATAATATAAAAACTCTACTGATAACCTGAGATGCAGCTCTAAAATAGGCAATATTGACTTGCTAAACAGCTGAGGATATGCTAAGGAGGTGCCAAGATTTTCTCCTATAGAATTTCAGAGGATCACATATGATCCCAGGGATGTTAAGACATCTGTCACTTGATGAAATATGTGCTTCCTAAAAGAATGAACATAAGCAAACCATCTTTTTCATGGAAGGTGGACGGAGTTAGGAGAGTGTGTATGTGGAAGGAGCAGCCTCAGAGCAATCTGGTAACGTCTGAAAACAAACAGTGAACAGTGGATCAGGGTTACTACCGCTAGAAAGTTTGTTTCTAAAATCCAAGAGATGCTACTGTTAGGACTGGAAAAGCCAGATCTACAACCTAAGGACATCTCACTCTCCTGAGAAGCAGCAGTACTAAAGTGCCAGTCTATCTGCTTTGCCAGAGGGGAGTGGGGGGAGATGTGCTGAGGGGCAAGTCTAAGGCACAGTACCTACGCCTGCCAGCTTCAGAGCTTGGCCTGCGCCTCAAGCGTTACCTCACATGGGAAGGGTGTAGATGTATGCCCAGCAAAAGCACCAGGACAAATATGTACTTACTGCAGTAAGCGATTAGGAGACTAGCCAGGATCATGATAGCCCAGAAAGTTGAGGACATGCTTGGCAAGGCGCTGGCATCTTTCCTACTGCTTCTCCTGGGAGATGGAGCCATTGAAGCCACTTCCCCGGTGGGGGAAAGTCAGACAGTTTCACCAGCCAGCTCTCCCCTTGACTGATGGCCTTGCTCCACGTGTAATCCTCAAGGAAGGCATCTTCCAACGACTCTGCTGTTCATCATCAGCAACCTGTTCCTGCTGCAGGAATCATCTTCCAGCCAGAAAGCCAAAGCGCCTCTAATGCACGCGGGGCTTGGGAACAGTGGCCACAGCCAGCTTCCCTCCTGTCACTGTGGTGGGGCTCACTAGCATGGAGGGTTTCACTGCGGCTTGGATACCTCGCGTGGTACTGAGCTTCGATGATGTCCCACGAACAAGCCTCTTTTTTTTTTTTTTTCCCCCCCCTTTCTGTTTTTAATTTGCAGAAGTTGTTCCGCTTGCTGTCCTTCCCCCTGCCTCCCCCTCCCCGGGGGCAGCCCCGCAGGCGGAGCGCGGGCCCCGGCGGTGCGAACGCGGCGCCTCCCCCGCCCGCCCGCCCGCGGCTCTACGGCGACCCCCGCTCAGGGCGCCGCCGCCCCCCGGCCCAGGCCAGCATGGCCGCGGGGGCCCCTGAGGGGCCGGGCAGGGCTCCGCCGGGCAGCTCCGCGCAGGGAGGGCGATCCGCGCCCCGGCCCAGCGCCCGCAGGGCGACGACAGCCCCGTTCCCCCACGGCCTGTCCAGCCTGAGCTCCCCTCCCGACCGGTCCTGCGGTTCGACGGGGCGGAGGCGCGAGAGGCGGCCAGGACACTTTAGGCGGAGGGTCGGCAGCGGCTCTCCTCCTCTCCGTGCGCCGCCCGCTCCGCTCTCAGGCACTGCCGCTACAGCGGCGCTGGCCCTTGAAGTAAAGGAAGCGGGAGGAGGAGGAGGGGGCCGGCGGTCACGCCCACAGGTGCTCAGCGCTCCGAGCGGAGCGGTCCTTCCCCCGCGCCGCTCCGCTCGCGCGTCCCCGCCGGAGGAGCGCGCCCGCCCCGGGGCTCGCATCGCCCCCGGCCCTGCGCCGCTTCCCGCTCCCCCATCCCGCTCCCGGGGCGGCGCCCGCCGGGTTTAGGGTGGGAGGAGCCGCGGGGCGACCGTCCCTGTCCCCGCAGAGGCTGCTGCCAGCCCTGCGGGGCCGGCGGCGGGAGCGGGCTGTGCGGCGGGCAGGGGCCGAGGGGCGAGCCCTGTGCCTCGGCGGGGTAGAGCCGGCTCCGGCCCCCAGCGCCTGCCCGCGGAGAGGTGGCGCGGGGGAGCCGCCGGGCCGGGAGCGGAGCAGACGCGAAGGGAGCGGAGTTCCCGCCCCGAGCCCCCTCTGGGAGTCTTTGCTCTCGGCTGACAAGGGGTCTCGACAGTAAGAGAAGTGGCCCAGGGAATTGTCTGTCCCCGTCCCCTCACCTGCACAGTACGGCTCGAAATCTCCACGATTACTCCTCGACATGACTATAGATGCTAAAGGAAACAGTTCCTCATTGTGTATCCATCTGCGGTCCTTATGGGGACTGCTGTTGGCACGCGGTTTCTGTCGCTGAAATGGCAGTGACACATCGGTATGAAGCCCGCTTTAGAGAGCTTAAATTCACATGTGTGCCAGTGTCCTTTATGATTAAAAGCTTAAATGTTCTAAGAGGGACCAGGTAGTTGAGCTTTTCTGTTTGGAGTCTCCATAGCAATGTCTTCAAATTAATATTTCAAGTTCTGCAGAAGGTAGTCACGTCCCAGGTACAGGCAGACTAGAAGAAAAGCTTGGTCACAAAACGTCCCATTATCTCCTCCTGTGTTTTACTTGCTTAATAGAAATGCCATGAAAAAGGTGATCCGTATTCCTTCAGAAGTACCGGGTTTGTCTGCTTGTTTGCCATTTAAACATCTAGACTTAAAATTGCATATGAATGATGCAATATTCACAAGACAGGACTGTAAAGACCATTTTAATACAGCTGCACTTGATTAGATACTTGTAACTAAGTTCAGTTTTGCACCATGAGGATTTTGCCAATGTAATCACTTTGATTTTAGAGATTTCCTACCAGAATATTTTCATCCTGAACTGGTAGGGCAATAGATTAATGTGTTCAAACATGCTTCAGAGATGAGATTTTAACTATTGTTTGGGTACAACTACATTTATGTACAGAACATCTTCCAAATGTGCCTTTCTCTTCCCTTATTTTCATGGGAATTTCTTTTCTAGTATATTTGAAAACTAGACCAGAGCACAACTCAAGCATTAAGACAACCTGATAAGCTGTATTCTCCTTCCCCACATCATTTAAAAGAGCATTTATATGTAGAGAAAAAAATCTTTGTATCACCTTCCATCCCTAACTTACACACTATATTTTCCTTCTAAGTCAACATAAATTTGTCATCCCTCTTGGAATCCTGAAGTATTACTTCAATTTACAGTTTACCCAAGAAGTTGTGGTTAGACAACAGGATTTCCCTTGGAAATACATCCAGCTTTCAGTCTGAGGAGTGGGAACCATGATTACTGTCCACCTAAATAGAACTTGAAGGTTCATGCAGAAACTGAAGTCCTGCTTTGATAATTCTGAAAACTGACATTCTTCACTTGAGACCAGGTTAATTCACATGTTGAACTACTCAGTTACTCAGAAAGTAAGGCATCACTCACTGAGTACAGGAACCACTGAGCTGGGGCCTTTGTGTTTTTCTATACAACCACCTGTAATAGTTTTACAAAGAAATTTTAAATCTAGAAAGATTTTCAAACATTACATTCTGATTTGATTGTCAAAGACAAGACTTAAAACTGGTCTTAAAATGTAATTTTAGGTCATTTGTTTTGTAGGTGCATGTTGATCTCCAGTAATGGCTTGGCTGCTCTGCACGGTCTTGTACTGAAGGGATTTCATCCTACAGTGACACTATTCACAATGTAAAGTCTTACTTAAGGAAGAAGTGATAGAATGTGATCTCAAATTAATTTGCTTGCCCCTTTCTTGATATGTTCCCCACACTTTGATTTTCAAGGAAAGTGTGTGAGTTCTGTCTTTATTGCCTCCCTAATATCCCAAGAAATTCCCAGTATTCAGACCTGTGTGTACGGAAATGTAAGAAACAATGATTAAAGTCATGGGCAGATGTCTGAGAGCTGAAGAGAAAATAGAAAATAGAAACCTAATATAGATAAATAAAATAGAAATCTAATAGCTGAATAGAAAATAGAAACCCAAGTTAATATGTATATCAAAGTGAAATACCCTTTTCAGAAATCAGATTGGTTCCCATACAAAGATGCAGATCTCTCATTTTGCCATTGCTGTTGGAAGAGTTACTATCTGCAAGAAAAGTAAAATAATATTTAAACTCTTTACTAAGACAGGCTGTGCCACTGGTCCAGTTGAATTTATAAGCAAAATATATCTATTGACTAGAAAAGGCATAGTTTGAAGGCTGTTGTAAGCTGTATCTATGTCAGTCTATGATGTGTGTATGCATCACTGCTTTCTGCTCGGATGTCAGACCTGTGAAGCCTGTGTAGTGATGTTGACCTCTATTACAGGTGAGAGGATAACCTACAGAGGATAAATCTTAACATTCATTTAGCATCAAGCATGTACATGGTAGAAGGTAGACAATGTTCTTCAGGTCTTTACAGAGAGACCTTCTGTTCTTTTTGAATTTGTTTATTTGCTTTGAAAATAGAAAGTTTAAATAAATTGTGGGTAAATTTTGGACATTTAAAAATGTCCAAATCTTGGACATTTAAAAATGGTATTGCACTGATTCAGTACACATCAGAGAGAATTAACACTCAGTAATATTTAAGCCAACAACTGAGTTTTTGCTTGGGATAAAATAAAATATTCAGTTGATTCTAAATGTTGATTTCAGGGAAATAACAGAATATCTGAATGGACATTATTGACTAGATTTGTTAATTTTGATATAAATATAAGCAAAAAATATGTAAAAGAATAGCAGCCTTAAAACTTTTTTTACATTGTTAAAAACATGAATTACATACAAGAGCTGTGTAGTATAAGCTTGTTGTTATATCTCAAAAGATTTTCAAAGGAAGAGCAGTGAAGCTTAATACTAAAAAGTAAGCTCCTCAATTTTATTTAACTATTTATGTTTTAAAAAAATTAAAAATTAAAAAAAATTAAAAGTTAAAGAAGTCTGTATGTCTTTTTATAAAAATCCATAGCACATCTTTAACAACCGTGGCAAATATAAAAAAAGAAGAAAAGAATGCAAGACAATTGCAATTTTTTTCATCTTCCTTGAAATGGAGACCATTCAGGGGATATAGATTCATGGTGAAAGAAAAATAATCATTTTAGTTAGATTTTATGAGAAGATTTTCTTTCTTTGTATTTACTATCTTTGGAAAAAATGTTTTACCTAGACACATGCCTCATTTTTTTTTTCCTTTTTAATTCCTCTTTAGTGCCAGGAATATTGACCATCTATTTAGTAGGGAAGTTTTTGCTATTGATTTACACGAAGCAGAAAATTATCATACTTTTGAACAAAGAAAAAGTAAGGAAGAAAGAGAAACAGTGTGTAGTTCCATGCTTAATTCATTGTGAAATTATAATTTAGAGAGTTCAATCCTCCAAATTTTAGTCTAAATGGCAGCCAGCCACATACATCTGAAGTGGGATAAGTAACTTAGTTCTCACCCACTAGTTCAGAAAAAGTCTTTCTTTTCAGAATACTTCAAAATTTGTACAGAGGTATTTTGATACATGCATATGAAAGAGCTTTTATTATGGTCAGTAACAGTAAAGTTCTTAATAACAATTCTGTTAATGCATAGTCAAAATATATTTAGAGAGAAACCATTGACCAAATTTAATTATTGCATTATAATTGTCTATGTGGCAAGTATTCTCACAGAGGAGTACTTTTGTTGATTTTTACAAATGTAAAACTACAGCCTTGTTTGTGGTAGATTGTGCGTTTTCACTGATCTTTTTTCTTTAACAAGGTACCAGTGTTCTTTCTTTAGTTTTTTTTTTCCTAACCATTATTAATTTAGCTGGGTTTGAGATTTTTTTCCTAACTTTA